AGGAGGGAGGAGGAGGAGGAGGAGGAGGAGGAGGAGGAGGAGGAGGAGGAGGAGGAGGAGGAGGAGGAGGAGGAGGAGGAGGAGGAGGAGGAGGAGGAGGAGGAGGAGGAGGAGGAGGAGGAGCGAAGCAACTGCGGCTTGGACGGAACCCGGGGGCGCTTGGAGCAGCTCAGGGGCCGGCTGCGCCAGCTACAGCACGGGGGCCTCCCCCGGCAGGCCGCCGCCGCGCTCCTGCGCACCTACGCGGGCAACGCCAGCCAGCACAACCTGCAGCTGGCGTTGGCAGCTGACGACGAGACGCTCCGCTACGACACCGCGCTGCGCGCTTGCTGGGAGGACCTGGCAGAGCGGCCGCACGGTCCCGAAGCTCGCGACCTGCTGGGCTTGCCGGCGAAGCTGGGTGGCGCGGGGGCCCAGTGGGCGGCCACGCGCAGGGCGGCCGCGTATTGGGCGGCCTGGACGCAGGCGGCAGGCGAGGTGCAGCGCGGCCTCGGCGCCGCCTCGCTTGCAGACGCCCTGGAGACGCTCCCGCAGACGCGCGTGAAGCTCGACAAGGCGCGCGCAGAGCTGGCACGCCAGGGCGCCGAGCCCTTCCTGGGGGCCCCGCTGGCTGCTGCACCCCGGGAGGAGACGCGACAGAAAACGGTCGTTGCGATTATCCACAAGACAATTCACGCTGCTGCCAAACAGCGAGTGGATCTTTCGCAGCAAGGCTACCTTGCTGTCTGCGGGCGGCCCTGGAGCGGGCGGCCTCTTGCAGTGCCCAACGGAGCCCCTCTGCGCCCTGGAGGACGTGGACTGGAGCACCTCCCTGCGCCGCCGCCTGCAGCTGCCGCGGCCGGAGTGCTTGCTCGCGGAGCTGGCTCGGGCCTCTGCTACCTGCGGCAACCAGACGGCGAGCGGCGCCACCTGCGCGGCCCCGCTAGACGACGACGGTTACCACGCCTGCACTTGCCAGTCTGGCGGGGGCGTCGTGAGGCGCCACGGCGATTTGGAGAAGACGCTTGGGAGCCTGGCCGGGAGGTGGCGCCACTGCGTGCCCCTCTACGAACAACGAGCCCCGGCTTGGGATAGGCACCGTGCGCGGCGGCCGGCAGAAGGGCCCGGCCCGCCGGCCCTGGAACGCGCCGTGGTGGACCTCCAGTGCGCGGAGGTGGACGGCCACTGGTGGGTGGACGTGGCGGTCCGCCACCTGGCGGCAGGCGACGAGACTGCGTTCGAAGATCTGGGCTGCGGCGCGACGGCCGGGAGAGGCTACGCGCAGGGCCGAGCGCGAGAAGCACGAGAGGTATCCGGGCTCACGGCTCACGGCTTTCGCCGTGGAGACCTCCGGACGCCTGGGCGCTGAGGCGCGGCTGTGGCTGCTGGCGCAGGTGCGCGAGCTCCCCGAGGACACGCGGCCCGGGGAGCTGGCGCGCTTACAAGGCGCTCAGTTGCGCGCTGCAGCGCCAGGTGGCGCGCCAGCTTCGGCGCGCCGCCGGACTGCGCTGAGCCGCGCGGACTGCTGGGCCCGGGATGGGAGCGGCGCTGAGTCGCGGCGCAGGGCCAGAAGCGCAGCGGGGGCTGAGTTGCCCAGGCTGGCGCGCTGGCTGACGGCGGGGCGGGGCGGGGCGGCGCTGCGGGCCGGGCCGCGGGCGCTTCTATGGGCCGACTTGGGGCCCTCTTGGGATGCTCCAGGGCCGTCTTGGAGGCCCATCTTGGGCGTCTTAAAGGCCTCCTGTGCCGTCTCGGGGGCCGTCTTGGGTCCCTCTTGGGCCCTTCTGGGGCCATCTTGGAGGCCTCTTGGGCGATCTTTCGGCGATCATCGGGGGCTCTTGGGCCGTCTCGGGCCGTCGGGAAACAGAAAGGAAGCAAATGTCAAAATCCGTAAAACAAACCGCAGGAACATCAATGTTTTGGGCCTCTTCTGGCCTTCCTGGAGGCCCTCTTGGGGGCCTCTTGGGCCGTCTTGGGCCAGCTTCGAGCCAACTTCGGCCATCTTGGTGGGTTCCTGGCACGTCTGACGCCGTCGGGAGCCGTCTTGGGGGCCTTTCTGGGCCGTCTTGGGGCCCTCTTGGGGCGCTTCGGGGCCGTGCCATCTTGGGCGTGTTGGAGGCCTCTTGTGGCCGTCTTGGAGCCCTCTTGGGGCCGTCTTGGAGGCCACTTGGGCCGTCATGGGGCCCTTTTGGGGGCCTCTTGGGCAATCGTGGGGGCCTCTTGGGCCGTCTTGGGCCGTCGGAAAGCCGAAAAGGCGCGAACGCGAAAATCCTTCAAAAACCTAAGGACAATCAATGATTTTGGCCCTTTCGGGCCTTCCAGGAGGACGTCTTGGAGGGCTCTTGGGCCGTCTTGGAGGCCTCTTGCGGGCCTGTTGGGCCGTCGTAGACCATCTTGGGGCCGTCTTGGAGGCATCTTGGGGCCATCTTAGCCGTCTTGGAGGCTATCTTGGGGCGTCTTGGAGACGTCTTGGAGACCATCCTGGGCCATCTTGGCCGTCTTGGGCGCCATCTTGGGCCAACTGGAGGAAACAGAGGCAACGCGGATGCGTTTTGATATCCTTACCGGGTCGCCGGCGGGGCGCGCCGGAGCCCCAGGGGGAGTTTTTTTTGGAAAAAGAACCAAAACCCAAACCGAGAGGGTCTAACACGCCAGGCACCCGTGTGATGAATCGACAGGGGGCGGCGGATCTCGTGACCTTCGGCCCATCCCGCCACCGTGCCTGGGTTGCGGGTCAGGGTTCTCAGGGATGCTTTTTGGGGTCTCTTCGGAGCGCTCTCGGGGGCCTCTTAGGTGCAGGGGCCTCTTGGGAGCCTCTCGGGTGCCTCATGGGGGCCTTGGGGCCTCCATTTGGGGCAGTCTTGGGGCGGTTCTGGGAGCCTTTTGGGCCGTCTTGGAACGTCGGGAGTTCGAAAAATCGAGAACGCCAGAATATTTTGAGCAACCTAAGGGCCATCCATGAATTTTGCCTTTCGGGGGGGGGGTACCCTGGATACCCAAGCGTGTGAGGCCTGACAAGTACGGCACGTGTTCCACGAGCGCCAAGTGCGCCACGTGCCCCAGCCGCGCCAGGTGCGCCCGCTCGGCTCGCGCAGTGCGTGCGAGGTGCGCCATTGCACAGTCGTCGCCGGGTGGATTCTGCATTGCTTTTTGACAAGGATTGTTGGCCTGCGCGTGTCACGCAATATGCTGGCACTCCCGCCGTCCCTGTCAAAATAAATGCAGTGTGGTCGCGGGGCGCCCGCCGAGTGGTCGTGGGGCGCCCGCGCATGCCCGAGATTTGGAGCCAGAGTTTATTTTGTATTGTTTTTCCCAACCATCCTGTGGTGTTGGGTCCTCGTTTTGAAGAGACGGTGCCCCGCGTTCTCCTTCCTTCCTTCCTTCCTTCCTTCCTCCCGCTGCCTCCTCCCCCCTCCCATCATCATCATCATCAACACCCATTTCGGCACACCCCTCACACGTTTCGTGGCTCCATAGGGAGCTCCACCGAAGGCCCCAGTGCCCGCGGCCGCATGCGTCCCCCACACCCATTTCGGCACACCCCTCACACGTTTCGTGGCTCCATAGGGAGCTCCACCGAAGGCCCCAGTGCCCGCGGCCGCATGCGTCCCCCACACCCATTTCGGCACACCCCTCACACGTTTCGTGGCTCCATAGGGAGCTCCACCGAAGGCCCCAGTGCCCGCGGCCGCATGCGTCCCCCACACCCATTTCGGCACACCCCTCACACGTTCGTGGCTCCATAGGGAGCTCCACCGAAGGCCCCAGTGCCCGCGGCCGCATGCGTCCCCCCACCATTTCGGCAAGACTCCACCGTTTCGTGGCTCCATAGGGAGCTCCACCGAAGGCCCCAGTGCCCGCGGCCGCATGCGTCCCCCACACCCATTTCGGCACACCCCTCACACGTTTCGTGGCTCCATAGGGAGCTCCACCGAAGGCCCCAGTGCCCGCGGCCGCATGCGTCCCCCACACCCATTTCGGCACACCCCTCACACGTTTCGTGGCTCCATAGGGAGCTCCACCGAAGGCCCCAGTGCCCGCGGCCGCATGCGTCCCCACACCCATTTCGGCACACCCCTCACACGTTTCGTGGCTCCATAGGGAGCTCCACCGAAGGCCCCAGTGCGTCACTCCACCGAAGGCCCCAGTGCCCGCGGCCGCATGCGTCCCCCACACCCATTTCGGCACACCCCTCACACGTTTCGTGGCTCCATAGGGAGCTCCACCGAAGGCCCCAGTGCCCGCGGCCGCATGCGTCCCCCACACCCATTTCGGCACACCCCTCACACGTTTCGTGGCTCCATAGGGAGCTCCACCGAAGGCCCCAGTGCCCGCGGCCGCATGCGTCCCCCACACCCATTTCGGCACACCCCTCACACGTTTCGTGGCTCCATAGGGAGCTCCACCGAAGGCCCCAGTGCCCGCGGCCGCATGCGTCCCCCACACCCATTTCGGCACACCCCTCACACGTTTCGTGGCTCCATAGGGAGCTCCACCGAAGGCCCCAGTGCCCGCGGCCGCATGCGTCCCCCACACCCATTTCGGCACACCCCTCACACGTTTCGTGGCTCCATAGGGAGCTCCACCGAAGGCCTCAGTGCCGCCGC